CTGAGTCAAGTCTGAAGTCTTTATTACAGGAGTCTGAGTCAAGTCTGAAGTCTTTATCACTGGAGTCCGAGTCAAGTCTGAAGTCTTTATCACTGGAGTCCGAGTCAAGTCTGAAGTCTTTATCACTGGAGTCCGAGTCAAGTCTGGAGTCTTTATCACTGGAGTCCGAGTCAAGTCTGAAGTCTTTATCACTGGAGTCTGAGTCAAGTCTGAAGTCTTTATCACTGGAGTCCGAGTCAAGTCTGAAGTCTTTATCACTGGAGTCCGAGTCAAGTCTGGAGTCTTTATCACTGGAGTCCGAGTCAAGTCTGAAGTCTTTATCACTGGAGTCTGAGTCAAGTCTGAAGTCTTTATCACTGGAGTCCGAGTCAAGTCTGGAGTCTTTATCACTGGAGTCCGAGTCAAGTCTGAAGTCTTTATCACTGGAGTCTGAGTCAAGTCTGAAGTCTTTATCACTGGAGTCTGAGTCAAGTCTGAAGTCTTTATCACTGGAGTCTGAGTCAAGTCTGAAGTCTTTATCACTGGAGTCCGAGTCAAGTCTGAAGTCTTTATCACTGGAGTCTGAGTCAAGTCTGAAGTCTTTATCACTGGAGTCCGAGTCAAGTCTGAAGTCTTTATCACTGGAGTCCGAGTCAAGTCTGGAGTCTTTAAGCTGGAGTCCGAGTCAAGTCTGGAGTCTTTAAGCTGGAGTCCGAGTCAAGACTGAAGTCTTTATCACTGGAGTCCGAGTCAAGTCTGAAGTCTTTATCACTGGAGTCTGAGTCAAGTCTGAAGTCTTTAAGCTGGAGTCCGAGTCAAGTCTGGAGTCTTTAAGCTGGAGTCCGAGTCAAGTCTGGAGTCTTTAAGCTGGAGTCCGAGTCAAGACTGAAGTCTTTATCACTGGAGTCCGAGTCAAGTCTGAAGTCTTTATCACTGGAGTCTGAGTCAAGTCTGGAGTCTTTAAGCTGGAGTCCGAGTCAAGTCTGGAGTCTTTATCACTGACAGAAAAGTCTAAGTATATTTGGCCTATACTTGTACTCAATTTTTGATCGAGATGTACTGAAAAGTATTCTTGGCTGCTGGTTCACTGTTTCATAAACTTGGATTGTTTGATTATTAGGGAAAATGTATGTTCCTAATTCTGATTTTTTTTGTAGGATAGTCCAATGCTAGTATACATAGGAATTTATTTCAAATCTACTTCACTCTTTCCCTTCCATTGACTGAATTTTCCACCCAGCCATATGTTCACTGTTTTCACGGTAGGGACGCTGTAACACATCTTGGAAAGAGTACAGAATCTCCTGATGAAAACAGGGGTAAAGAAGCCGCAGTAACAAGTGATAGAAGATTGCTTGGGCAAATGTAAAATAAAGCGATCATCAAACATCTAACGGCATACATATGTTCAAAACTGCCTAACGTTACAGAATGAAATGTCGGCCCAGGAAGGGTTAATGACTCTGAAGCTTTGGGGGTGTTGATGGACTCGATCTACTCCATCTGTTTTGATCATCATTCTGAATCAAATCCAGACGTAGTCTTTGACAAAAAATTAATTTTCTCAGCTTTTTGTTTAAAATGTTGCTTTTTAAAATGAAACTTACCCATAGTTTTATTAAATATATATTTTATATAAAATAATGTTCATACGTAATTTTCATTATCTTAAACCTTTAACTTTTGCTTTTTACTTCAACAAAATTCGGCCAAGGTTCTTCTTTAAAATGAGACCAAACTTAAGTCTGTGCTCCAAAGCTTCAAATATTTATGACAGGGACATGTTTGTCCTCTAAGGACCTCAGAGTAACTTTTTTTTAATTGAGGCTCAAGAGGTTACACCCTGGCCTCACACCAAGTAATGACAGATTGCAAAATTGGTGCATTTTATTCAACTCCAGATTTTGAGGGAGATCATAGTTTTCAGCCAGTTGGTTTCAAAATTCAACTTGTTATTTAGAAACTAGAAAGCAGTATTAGGACATGAAAGTGGTCTTCATAAACATTCAAAGGATTTTAACCCGTTCACCTGCAAGAAGATGCGAAAATTTTGTACACACACGCTGTTTTCTGTGCGTCAGCGCTCCATTACTGAACTGAGGTCTCTTTTGTGTCTTGTCATGCTTAAACGGATGAATACACTCGAAATGATGTCAAAATGGCAGTTTTGGCGAGTATCCTCCTAAGCCCAGAGATAAAATAAAAAGTCTTAATCAACGTAAACAGTTGGGAGAAAATCAGATCCATGCATTTGGTCTTAAAGTGAAAGTAGCCTAAAACTCTGCTCAAATCTGACTGAATAACTTCTTTAGCTTTAATGTATAAATTATATACATTAATCTTTACTATAGTATTTTGTACCTAAATACTGTTCGACCTATACCTGAAATCTGTTTATTTCATTTGTATTTTTGTTCTAATGTGTTTATTTGGGCTATTACTTGTAATTTGCTCATAAGTGTCTTTATTTAACGTTATTTATTCAAATATTTATTTATTTATAAGCTCCTTAGTGTTGAGCCCTGTGTGTTCATATATTTCCTATTAAGACCTGGTCTTTTTGTTATAAAATAAAGTTGTCCATTCAGCTGAATACAAAAAAGAAAAGGAAAAAACCTGATGAGGGTCTCATCTGAACACAGCTTTCACCACAGGAAAGCTAACAGGAATAGTCCTGCCAGATTTTTATGTTGACGTGTATTTATTCATGACAAATCTGAAATAAAATTACCAGTGTGCTCTAGTTTTCAAACAGTTTCAATAAAGACGAAAAAATATTTGTATTTTCGCATTTGAGAATTGCAGATAATAATGAGTTTTGCAACTCTTAAAGATACTCCAAACAAATCTGTTGATTGGTTAACAACATAAAGCCATAAGTACAAATTTGCAAGAAAAAACATTTATAACATCTGTTATCATTGAACGAAATAGATTTTGATATAAAAATATATATGGCTGCTTGACCAAATCAATGCTAAGATTTTGAACAGTGAGCATTCTACTGCTTCCTTAAATGCTAAAATGTATTCTCACTGAATAAAAACATAAAGTATTTTAATTAATCCCCAAAAAGTATTTTGTGTGCTGTCTTTTTGTCCAGTAATCATAATATAAAAAAAGCAACTATCTTTAATGAAATGGCAGCTGTCATGATAGTTGTAACACCTGAACCTAATAATTGAGTATTACATGTTCCCATGACAACTGATTGTCAAGAAACAATTGGTAAATGGCAGTTGCTGGCACTATAAAAAGTCCCGTCAGGCAACACTAATATGTGTTGGAGGTCAAGTATGTTTTGTTTGACTTTTTACTGGTGTTGTTGAGGTGGTTAGTTGTTGTATTTTTGTTTGGCCATGGAGGGTACCACTAGCCGACTCTTAAGGTATGATGATAAATTGTAGTATTTGGCATTTGTTAACAAGTGGCATTCATCTAACAAGGTTTTTTTTTTTTTTCTACAGTTTTTCTTTGGCACTTCTCAGTCTTTGTGTCTGTGACCATTTTGGAAGTGGTAAGGTTTATCCAGGCAAGTTCTAAAATTCATGTTTGCTAGCACGTCTGTTTGATTCTTTCTTTCCCTTTTTTATTTTCTTCTAGTTGGTGGCTTTGTCAGGAGTGGTTATCCTCTGTACTATGAGGCTGGTTTCCCCATGCAGGATGTGAAGCCACGAAGTTCCTACAGCTGGAATGGTGCTGATGTATCAAATCCCACCAGTCCTCAAAGGTCAAGGAGTAACACTTACAGTGCTGCACAAGTTAAGGGTGTGTATAGCAGTGTAAGCTATAGTCCTCAAAATGGCTCTTCTGGTTCTGACTCTGATGCTAGTAGTGAACTTCAAGGATCTCTGATATCTTCAGCTGGTAGTGGCAGTCTCGTTTCTGGTTCTGGGGCCACTGCAATGGGTACAAGTATGCACATTGAGTCTCTACCTGAGCCAACACCGCTCAACTATCAAACTGTAGTACAGTCTAGTAATGAGTCTGTGGTGTCTAGTAGCCAGCAAATAGTGCAGAACAGCTCCCAGTCCAGTGGCCAACTAGTGGAAGGCAGCTACCAGTCTGCAGTGCAGCCCATTGTCAAGCCTCAGAGAAGTAGACTTCAAGTTGTTTCCAAGTTATTTTCTGGTAACAGGCCAGTCCATATGTCAAGTTCTACCTTTTTGGTCAAGCCTTTGCAGCAGAGAAATGAGTCCTCACAACCCAGGTATCAGTTAGGGCAAGCCAGCTTTGGATATGGACTTGTGCCTTTACTGAGTGGCCAGCAACTAGTGCAGTCACGTGATGGTTCAACAGTTCAGCCTAGTGGTGTGCAGCTAGCACAGGCAAGAT